TGAGTTAGTGAGTGAGTGAGAGAGGGAGAGAAAGAGAGGGAGGGAGAGCGAGAAAAGAAACGGCTCGTCAAAACGCTGGAAACAATCCATTAATCAGGTTTCACCATTCTCTGCTCCGACGGCCTCGAAGGCAGGGCTACATGAGACACACGGAGCCACGTGAATGCTGTTGAAAAACACATGGTTGTTATCGCTGAGTCAGGCAGCCGCTACGTGACGCATTTTGCGTCCGAGTTCGGTCGGGCCATGCACTTGCTCAACGAGCTACACTCCGTGAGCCCGCAGTGTGACGGCTACATCAATGTGCTCGGCTGCGATGGCACGGCCGTCAACACCGAGACGATAGGCGTGTTCCAACTGCTTGAGCTGTTCACAGCGTCACCCGTACACTGGTTCAACGAGGTGAACCTGCTCCATCTGCTGCTGAGCTTGGACGGCACAGCCACGGGATCGATTTTGTCTGGACCCATCGGCAAGACCGGCGCCTGAGAGGTCGGGGAGAGGGACGTTGTGGCATTCAAGCCTATTCCGGGGCACGTACCAAACCTTCCGGTCGACCTGATTCAACAGCTGAGCACAAACTAGCAGCTGCTGTACCTTCTGGCCTCCGGCGTTCAAAACAGCTTTGTCCGAAACGTGGCAGCCCAGCGGCGAATCAGGCCATCGAACCATGTCAGGTTAATATGAAAACGCATTTGTCCTCCAAGTTATGGCGTTGAATATGTATGTCGCAATGTCAGAGTCACACTTAAGGACTCTGGATATCGGCATAATTGCATGCACTAAAGAGGCGCAATTACTTTTGTGTTATCTAATGCTCAGTGTGTAATGTGTTGCTCTAATGTATTCACTTATGTTTTCAGCTGGTTGACACTGATCGCAGGCCAGTTCCTAGTTTACACCTCTACTGAGACCTCTAGAAGCGCTCTCAAGGGCCTCGTCTAGTGCGTGGTCGGCCACTATGTGCTTGTATGGTCCGCCATCCGGCAGAACAGCAGCTGCGACTTTGGCTTACACAACTTGTTCCGGAGTATCGAGCTGCTCCGCGAGCTACCGCGGCACGCATAGGCCACGGTGCAGGCAGTCCTCCAGCGTAACGGGTACTGGGTCCGTCTGGTACAGCTTCTGCTGGACATGGTGTGGGATTAAAACCGCATGGTCCGCGAACAGGTGCCTCCGATTATCGCACCGCTCGTGAACAGCAAACCGAGGGTCTTCTTCATTCCATGGTCTTCGCCATCCCAGCGATAAATTTTGAGTCCGTGAGGTACTCCTAACCGATACCCTGGCGTGAGCCAGTCGCACAGCCTCCACTGCGAGATCCAGTGACTGTAAGCGGAGGAGCAAAGTGCAGGCCCCGCTGGCTGTCTCACCTTATCTGGTTTACACTAGGAGTGCGACCAGCGCCGCCCTGCCGACGACGTCTGGGGCTGGAGCTGCAGCTTCGGCAAAATGCGGAACACAGCCGGGACGATATTTCTGCTACCGTGAGATCTTCGCCAACGCGCGTTTTGGGTTTCTGGTCCGTGAGCAGCTGGTATTTGGGCCGGTGCATCGAATACGCAGGTTCGGCAAGGAGCAAGATGTGCATGGAGTTACTCTACCTCCCGCTCCTTCTCTACGCGCGTGGTGCAGGCTGCAGAGCTTGGTATATGTATTAAGTTGCACATCAGACAATATATTCTGGGTCATATGCTATGCATGGTTTGGTTTGCATCACGTGAGTTGTCTTAGAGAAGTGAAAGTCTAATGCAATAGTAACCGACATACTCGTACAAGTTTATACTCAACAGCACGTAATTTTTCCGCCATATGGCGATCAATCGGGCCATGTCTGATTCGCATATTAGACCATAGACCGGGACATTCTTGTACGACGTCTTAAGGAGCGCTGGGTAACATCGTTTCCATAGCAAATATTTTGTGTCGCTTGCCGCCCACGGCTTGGCGTTACCCGCGGCGGCGGACGCCGCCCAGCATAGGGTGACTGCAACGCCGGACGTCGGTTTAAGGCGATATTTCGATGGGCTCGCGCGTCACGAATTTAAGTTTTTGGGAAGAACTTTTGCTATGTCTTGTACTTTTGGGCTCGTGTGCCAAAGAAGTTATTTGTCCCACTTGGTTTTGTTACTGATGACACACCCTAGTGTCCAGTAGAGGATAATTAGCGTACGACCCTAGTTTAAGCATTATTGCCACTATTGCAGCTCCTATTTAGTTCAAAGAGTTAAGATTATGCGGTACAGTCCACTGCCCTCCCAATTTTAAGGCTTAAAGACCTTAAGGTTATGATCTATACGCCCGCAAAGATGCGCGGATTTTTTTCGTGCAGATCATTTTAAGGTCACTTGGACATGTACCAGGGCACACAAACAACATTCGAACATTGTCGCCCATTAGATCATGGAAATAAATACCGGGTAGAACAAAGTTCGGTTTAAAAAAACCAGCAATATCAATCTAGAAATACTCTAAATCTGCGATATATGCTACTTCTCTTGTTCGTACTGAATATTTCGCAGCCAGTAAATGAAGGTAGCGTTGCGCTGGTTCCACAATAGTGAAGGCATTTAACATTTCAATGAATGCTGCGCCCGTAAGTTTGGAAGAAGCCTTCACGGAGCTATACACTTAATAGCATTGACAATGCGTTTTGGTTGATAGCAACAAATTCAGCATTTTTATAAGGAACATGTAGAAAACCTCGGAACGCTCGGCTTTGAGCCTACTGTAGAACTGTGCTTATAAATCCAGCAAGTTACTGGTCGAGCCACTGGGACCAGTGGATTTACCGCGGAAGTCTTCACGACGTACCGTGCAAGAAGACTTTGACCCGGTACGCCGTGCGAGTTTGGCTTTTCAGACAAAAAAAAATGGTGCACGGATCGGCCCAAAACAATCAAACACGTTTTCATCTGGTGCCAAGTCCATCAAAATTGGCCTAACAGAAATCGATACACAGCTCTGTGAAAAGCAGGCCTTTAACAGGTGAACCCTATGGGCGAATGGGAAACGTATGCTTTGGAGAGGTTTTGCTACCAAGGTGCTTCGGTGGAGACTGCATCAGACATGCGGCGTTCAAGGCCATGAACAATATAGTCGTCAAGTTGTTCATGTCTGGCGTTCGTGAGCACAGTTTCCAGATGCAACAGACTTGAACCGCCTCTTGATCATCGCTGTGTAGGCAGTGCAAAATTCAAACAAGAACCACATTGTGTGTTACATGCCACAAGAAGCTGGACATGGGTACTGGACATAACGGAAATAACACCTGTAATCGTCGTAATAGCGAAAACTCAAAAATAGTGCCACAACCGAGCATGTGAATACAGCAGACGCCTTAAACTCACGGACAAATATGCAAATACGAGAAAAGGCCCTGAGCAAGGCAAAGCCCTGAGCAAGGCAAAGGCCTGAGCAAAAGGCAAGCTGACGATATCTATTCCAGCAGACACGTCCAGCAGCGTCACTGTCATCTCTCAGCGAGTTGGAGACCCACGAGTGAGTGCTAGGGTAACCATTTCGTGCGGCCAGTTTAGCAACACCTTTAACGTCATACAAACTTTCCGTGACGCAATCAAAGAATGGAATATCGAAGATCACAGTTGCTAAATCGGAAAGTGTTGCTGTCTAGACGGCTCTTCTCTTATTAAAGTATAGCAAAAGTTCTGGTGTCTGCTTCCATATCTTCAAGTGTGGAGCATTACATTGAAGCTAGGACTGCTGCTGATCCCTCAGACCTTCATTATGGGTACAAAAAGATCAATTCAATGGTTAAGCGTGATCATCACAAAATATTGTCGGAGCTTGAGCTTGCTTTTACCAGGCACTCGGATTGATCGCGACATCGGTCACAGGTCAGCCTAATTTTGATGAAATGTACTTCAAGAAAGGGAATACCTCATCAATCGTGACCTTGCATTATACGTTTCTCAGGTGAGTGCGCTGTTTATCGTCGCAGGTGCGTAATCCGCAGTAGCGTTGTCAAATGACGGGATCATTGGGCAATGTGTTTCGAGGGTGTTAATCCCCGACGTCGTGGATGATAAAAAACCAATAATGACAAGACATTGTTACCTCAATGACAGGTAGAGTATGTTCTGCCACAAAAGAGCATAGTGACGCGCATTCACTGCATCTGAAAGGAGACTATTTCGCGAGAGCCAAATACGCGTGGAACTATGGAGTCAAGTAGCACTTGGAAAATTTCGAAAACATGTGTCAACGAGAGAAGTTCAATCCTCATGGAGTCGGCTTTCTTGTACACAAATAACCCACTCAATAGGCTTCTTTTATTAGCACCTTATTTGACGTCCATGCATTTTCTGCGCGTCCACTCAAACCAACACCAAAACTCGCACTTATGGAAATATGCAACCGGAACGGAAACAAGAACCCGTGGTTACTGCTGGACGTTAAAAATAAAACAAAATGACGGATGATTACGGCACAAGAGCCGACCCAATGCGCATGATATGCCCTCAAGGATTAGCCACCAATCCAGCAAACAAGGTGATTTTTTCACGCTTGTGGTAAAGGAAGACAAAACATGGTCTGTCTGCAGTGAAGTTCACGATAATGGGCACCGATTCTCTGAATATGACCACTCCAGCTGCCGCAGCCGTTGTACCATTCTCGTTCACCTCTATTACCGCCTTGTGGATGATGTTGCTGACAAAGATGTTTCGCGACGTGATACCGCCGAACTCCGCCTGCACTTGGAAAATCCTCCGGATGCCTAGGTTTCGCATGTTGGCGGGCAGCTCATAGCGACGCTCGATCTTGAAGGGCGGCATCAGTACACGGACTAACCGCTGACTCAGTTGGCTGTATAACCGGGACACGTCCAGACCGTCCAGAGACTTCTGCAGCCTGGCAACGGCAGCCAGCGAGCGACGGTGCGGGCGCAGCACTAACAAACTGTAATCTTTGTTTTGGTACGGCAACGACACTACATCGAAGTGAGTGGCTGGTGTAACCAAGCTCCGCCTTCAACTTCATCATGTTTGTCGGCCGATCGCGCGCGGTGTCAAAAACGGCTTCTGTCCGCCCTTGTCAAAGCGATAAAGCCAGGTGCCCTTGAAATACACGGCGCTGAAGAGCACCAGTACGGCGTTGCTGACGTCGGCACTTGTCACCAGGTCCTTGATGTGTCCGCGCGTTGCCACCGACGCCTGGTTGTTGATGACCTCAGCGGCCTTCCCGGCGTCTCTTGGTAGCACCTCCACCCCGGCTCCATAGTAGCGCGCTAAAAGGTCGCTGAAGGTGCGGCGCACACTGAAGCTGTGCTTGCGGTAGATCCTGTTGTACACTGACGTCGTGACGCCATTGCTGGCTCCAGACAGGACCGCCAAGGCCGAGCGGTAGCCATGGAGGAACGATGTGTCCTTTGGGCCGGACATTCCCAGCACAGGCGTCATCTGGGTGCAGCACACAAGCAAACGTTGTCATATCTCTCCTCCGCATTTAATCAATAAAGATCACGGTGCGGTGAGTTACGCTGTGTGTCTTGCGATAAGTTAACGCATGAGACCGGGTCTGGTGGCATATGCACTGGTTCCGGACTGGCATATGTGCCCGGGGCTGGTGGCATCTGCACGGGTTCTCGGTTGGCAGATGTGCCAAAAGCTGGTGTTGTCTGCACTGGTTCCGGACTGGCACATGTGCCCGGAGCCAGTGTTGATGGTAGGTCTTAATGAAAATCAGCCAACTGGGCTCTCACCTCGGCTCTAGTGGCACCTCTGGCGCCCAGCCAGACCTGCGACATCAGCAGCGACATCAGGAACGGTGAGATCACGTGGTTGGCCACCGGACCCGACGTCACCTCCCTCAGCAGCTTCATGTCCAGGTCAGTGGGCACACAGGCGCCTCCCAGCGTGGCCAGCAGCAGGAGTGGCGCCAGCCAGGCGCCTGAAAAGGCGAGTCATCTCGGGTCGCATAGAAACTCACAAGCTTCCTTTTTTGAGATATCGGTAAATTCCCAAAGATTGCCACTACGAGTGCATGACCTTCCAGTGTGTTGCATGTAACATCACCTCTCGTCTGATTTGTTGCCGATCACTGTCGCAAAGGTCCCGAGTACAAGAGCTCTGCATCAATACAGATTCTTTTGATGTAGATCAATTCAAATCTAAAATCCTCTGCATGTGACGCCCTGTCTATTTTAAGTTTCAAAAGTAAGTTTTTCCCACTTCCCAGTTGCTCAAATATCCCGCATAGTAACATGCGTCAACCCAAATTCCGACGGCATTTGAACTGCAAGGTAAAATGAAACATTAAAAAGGTCATTCTCACTTGGTTTTGAACCAGGTTGAGCGTGCGCAAAATTACTTTGCTGACAAATGCGTAGAGGGTTGAGACATGTCCTCTGTATTTGTTGGGCCTGTTTCCTTTCTTAGGAGTTCTCTGTCTACGCTGCAACAATTCTCCAGACACCGGCTTTATGTAGGATCATGGAAGGCGACACAGCACTAGTGATATATTGATCACGCCAGTTTTTTAAACGGTATTATTACCAAGGACATAGTGTATGGTCTACGATATTGCAGATTGTGTTTCAGTTAATGGAGTTGAACAGTAAGTTGTTCATTGCCTTCGCGAGGAACATCCGCTGAGTTCGATCTGAGCAATATTTCGTGACCACACATTTATTCCATGCATAAATTGTTTAATGGTCCGAGTGATAGGAATGAGCCAGATCTAACAGACCCAGCTTATGTTGACCTTTATAATAGTAGGTTATGGCTCATGGTGGTTTCGTACTTATGGAAGATCCAGAAATATCCATTGGCGCGTTACTGACACCGAGCTGCGCTCGATCGGCGTCAACCAGCTCTCACCTGCATTGCGTTTCATGATGTCCTCGTAGTGTTGAATGGGAGTAGAACGAACTCTGTTACGTGAGATTATAGTTGACGTCCGGCTTGGTTCGCTTTCAGCAGTGACGAGACGATGAAGCCAGGATCTGTGGGATAAGAGATATAACGCAGTGAAACTTGGATGGATGGCGCTAAAGCCACGAAACTTGGATCAGTAGCATGGCTTTTCACCTTAGATCGACAGGCTAGTAACACCCCATCTCTCGCATTTTGACCTAATCTCATCTAAAGGGAAAATGGTGAGACTTTATGCTCGGTCTTATTTTCAGCTTTTCAGAGATAACTCGCACAATTTTTAAGTTGGCAAGGTTTATCTCCGGTGCTCTGCATGTTGCATAAAACTGGTGTAGCACAAATGCGATACATCACTCTAAATTTCGTGATTTTAAGATAATAGCGCAAATTTTGATCTGCATGCTGGATGACACTTTTTTTGGACCTGCGTTTAGATTTTGTTTGATGAAATCGACGGTAATGCATCATTTCTCAGTTTCAATACCATCATTGTGCTTCTAAGCTGAAATGCACAATTTGGTAGTTAGTTTAAGTTTTGGGCTTACGTCACATCAGTGCGGAAACAACGCGTCTCCCGCGGGACTGTCCGCTTTCCCGCAGAAAATACGCGTGAGTACTATTTTGTTCTGGGAGGATAATAAATTAAAATGTATGACTGAATGTCTGAGAATGCTTCGCAGTGTTGTTGAATATACGTCCGTGACATTACATTGTTTGCTTGCATTCACATGCTCGGTTATGCAGCTATTCTTAAGTTATTTGATCCCTGTCTTATGTGTGTAATAAGTTGTACGATCGCGGAACTTTCGGCATTATATAGCACAAAATGTAGTTGATGCTCGACAGTTGCATTGAACACATTCGATTGGTTGAAGGCTAGAAATCGTGCTGATATGCACTAGACGCGAATATCTATAAGGATCACATTTGTCTGACCTGGGCATCACCTAACCAGTGAGTATACTTGGCACACGTGCTGAAGTGTACAATGAGTACATCGCAGTATATGGAGGCGTACAGCCAACTCCTGAGGTGGCAGTATTTGGGTGATGTTCTCATGGCGTACGCCTGTGCGGCCTTGAAATAGTGTGTACGAAAGAGTCTGCGCGAAATAGACTGCACATATTCGCAGGTGTCAACTATAGAAACCAAACGGTTTTTAGTCTCAACAAGGACCGGGTTCTGAATGGCACTGAATGATCTTAATAATAGACATCTTACTTCAAAATGCAATGCAAAACAACAAGCTCCCATTACACTCATCTTATACTTTCTTTAAAGGGCGTGTAACGCCTCTTTTTTCAATAATTGTTAGATCAGAGGCGTACTATGTGATCAGTAGTTCCAATTTTCTCTAACTCCTTCAGAATACCACGGAATTTCTATTTGAAACTGGCCGCTCATACGGATGAAATCCATTGGATTCCTTGTCAACCACCATGAAAATATTGCATTTCACTTGCCTTCCTCTTCCACGTGTGTGTTATGTAATGTTTGCAATATACTAATCTCTCAACACGCCTGTGTAGTAAAAACCACGAAGGTATGAAACGCTCTGTTTACACTCAAATATATACGAACGTTAAAGGTATTATCCCGCGGATTTAAAGAAACCTTATACTATACAAGGCGATATATACCAGGTAAAACCGTCCCGACAACGTTCTTCTCAGCAAAGATCCGTATTTGACGTCACCGAGGGCACCTCTTTAACGCTGAGACAGTCGCACGCGTTATAACGGCCATGAGAGATGGCATGTATTACAACACGCTTGGTGGGTGGAATGATTCGTGAGGTCAAAGAAGATATGAATGAATGAAAAAACTTGACAGCAATGCCTGATTTTGAAGACATTTCAAGAAGCGAGGCGGTGATGTAGAACCCATGAAGGAAACTTTTTGAGGACGATCCGTTGCGTTTTACGCCAAAGAAGTGCTTGACGTAAGGGCTTATCTATGGCTTCGGAATCACCAGATGACCTTTATCTGGTGATATCTGGTGAAAATGTACCCTTAAGTTGCCAGTTTATTTCGTGCATCACAGCTGCCGTTCAGCGGTGTATTTACCCCTAGCGAATCCATGGGGCTTCTGAGTCCCAGTTGGCATTTGGATGGGGCTTCGGTTTGGCAGATCACGCCCGACAGAACAAAATGGTCGCATCGATGTAGCCTATGACGGTGTACGGGACGGAGTGCGGGCATATCTCTAACCTTGCTGCCTGAAATATATTTGAAGAGCAGTGGGGCATGGCAGCCCAAGAAGCACATAAGGTGCCCCAAGCTCCTCGGCAGGAGGTCCCGACCCGGAGCAGGTCAGGCGCATTCGCGCGGCTCCATCTAAGAGGGAAAGTCGAGTCAATGCACACTGGGGCTTAGTCATTCACTAGAGCTAGGCCCTGACGGTTGCTGGTTTCGTAGTGCAAGAGGTACCGCTGCTTTGCTCATCTTTGCCTGGAAAATACCGAATAAGACCTGTTCGGGCATTAACGCGCTCTCAGCCTAAGAGCGCGCTCATCAGCCTAAGAGCGCGTCATAACCAACGTCCATAACCTTTTTGGCTATTCATAATGAATGCAGTGGATCAATTAACAACGATCTTCCTCGTCTAACAGCAGGCTCAGGTTACAATACTGTCGACCGTGCAATGTTATCTCGCTAACGCAGAAGCAGCATCAGATGCACTGCAGCGGGTCCATGGTCTCCACCGCCGGCTTCAGCACCCGGAGTGCCGCACGGATGGTGCCAACATCGAGCTGGGACTTGGAAGCCACGCATCCACCTTGATAGCGTGCTGTTTGAAGGCAGCGGGCGTTCATGACATGCTGGGCGAATGCACAGATCTTCCGGCTGATAGAGCGTAGTGTGACAGCATTGGCGACATCAAATCCCTCCATCGACCCTCGGCCGGTGGATGCTTGCTGAGTTGCTAAGTTGAGTGATTGAGTCGCCAACGGCTGAAGACACCCTCGGTCTGGACGTGCTGTAGGTCCTGAGTATTCAGCAGAAGCTGGCACACCTGGCGCAGTGGGCGAGCGATTCCCGAGGACAGTCCAGATCGTTAGTTCGGTGTTGGGCACGCGACTTCATCCGCCGAAAGTCAGATGGGCATGCTCGCGTCCCGGTGATAAATCCAGGCCTGAGCATGACAAAGGCTCCAACAGTGAAAAACGGGCAGCGCGGGATGCCTGGGTATTAGGGAACCGAACGGTGCGCAGCTTTTTCCATCGTCCTTTTTGTTTTTGTTAGACACCCAACACATGCACCAGTGGCGTATCCAAGCTCTCTCCCTTTCAATGCGGACTCACTGGTGGAGGGCCGACTCATATCCGTTGATGTCGTTAACCGTTCTGTCGCACGCAAGACAGTAATAATTTAGTGAGATATTTTTCTCGATCTTGATCACTACATGGCAATGAGGTGGCGGTATTCGTGCGTTATGGATGTCTGAGTGGCCACGAAAATTCGGGATGAGTTCGCGGGCAACAAGCGAGAAAACAAGAGGGTTTCAAGTCTTAAGTCTTAAGTCTTAAAGGTATGGCTGTGAACGGCATTGCATGACCTCCAACATGGCTATCTCATTTCAAAATCCCATACAAATGTGAATCACTTCCTTTCTTCAATTATGGTTCACAATGATATATTCTGCACCGTTATGACAGTTCCGAATCTGTCGTGGAGAATCATTTTAATGGTCATGTGTGGTATTGTATAAGTCTAGGCAGTCACTGTTTTTCGTTTTAAGGAAATCTTGAACAAGCACATTAAGTTGTTCCCTGTTGACTGAATTATCGGAAAATATTAAGAAGTGCGAGGCTGACCTCCAAATCCACAGCATCAATTTGGGACAACGGGTATGCTGCATCTGGCGATTTTGCAAAACGAGATCGAAAGACATCTTTGTCCACTGTTGGCCAGTTAGTTTTCAGGTGACCGGCGTGAGTTCGGTCGGAAAAAGCGGAGTACAAACTCTGGAATTCCCATCCACAGCCTAGGAATTATCGCGTCATCATATCGCGTTACCCACAGCGGCTTTTCCTTAATTTTCGTCCGCTTTTAAGAGCGCTCCCAAACGTGGCATGCTACCACAACCGATAGCAAAAGCAAGTTGCATTTTTTAGAGAGCTAAAAAGGCATAAATTTAAAAGCGTATGACGTAACCCTACTCACCCGGAGCGACACTGTTCACCGCCCGACAACACGCAAAGCTTTGACTGTTAACCCTCGTTGACGCCTCGTGGCATACACTTCGATGCGTCATCCCCGTGACCTGTTGACCCCCGACCCGTCCGTCACTGGCAACGGTGGGCGTACGGTGACAGGCTGTGGTCCGATTCATGGCCCTATACTCTAACAGGCTGGGCGACCGGACTTTTACAAAAAAAAGGTTTATTTGAAATCCGTACCGGTTTAATGATCTCACTCTTCAATTTCAATGAATCGTTGTGGCAATCATACAACTACAACGAATTTTTTTAAGACTGGTTTAGTACTGGTTTAATTACCGATTAAGTATTACAGCCTAAACTAACATATTGGCAGAATGGCATCCCCAATAGTCTAAGAATGCCACTAAATGTGGCAATTTATACATTTCTGGTGCCCGGGAGATATCACAAACGTGCACTGGCTATGCACGCAACTTATGTATTTTACTCCGTCGATTGTTCATCACTCTCGCCGAATATTTGCGTCCAGATACGTACCATCATGAGGTTTGTGTAATCGTCTTGCCTGAATCACGTCGGGTAGACCTCAATAAGCAAACACATTCTTTAAGTTATTGCATTTTTTGTTACATCAAAATTTGTACTGACAAGCCGAGTTTGGTGTGCAGTCCATCATGATTTGCTCTCATGTTCATTCCGCTCTTCCAGTCTGATATTATCCATGCATTAGACGTTACAATAATATTAAAGCAAGCTTGTTGGTGCTGGGCCAGACTGTCCAGTGATCGAGGGCGCAGAATAGGGAGGGGGTGCTGAGCAGCGATAAAAGACTCAGCCCGCTCCCCTGGTCTGACGCATGCTAACGGCGGGCAGGTTGAAGGGGAATCCCACGTGCAGTAATGTCAAAACAAACCATCCGCAAGCGCGGTGTCTGTGAACGTGCGACATTTAGAGCCAGGCGGCTGGCCGCATGCTAGTGCATGTTAAACTAGTATTTGAGAACTTCGCGTCCCAAGCGTTCGACTATTAATGAGTCTCCTCCAAAGCTGCCACGACAAGCGTGAGGGGGGCCGCGCGCCACCCCGCACCCCTGCGCTGTGCCTGCGCGCTGCGGGCCCGTACGTTGTGCGCATGCGCCGTAGCTGCATCGGAGGCGGCGCCGATATAAGGCGGGCTGACAGGCAGAAGACATCGTCGATCTGTTCGGTGCTTCTGCCCGAATTGGCTACACATCCTTTATACGTCGAGGGTTCACTCCAAGTGTTGTTGTTTGCTAAGGAGCTCCATTTCTCTTCGTCGTTGCCGTTCGCTACCGTACGGTTCACGCTTTACCGAAATACACAGCTTTCACTTACGCTTTGCTTTTGTTATCGACCAGAAAATGGCATTTTCGGAGACAAGCGAACAAATGTCATACGCGGATGCTGGCCATGGTGATGACCGCTGCCGCATAGCAGCCTACCAGACATATGCCTGGATCACACAAATAGATCATTATTTCATGGGGTTCCATGTCTATGGGATTTGTGTTGTTCTTTTTTGGGAGAGGGTCGAGACACATGTCTGCCACCAGGGGCACCTCTGTTTTTTGTTGTTTTTTTACTGCAAGTTGATGAAGGTGAGCTCTTTCAGTAGGTCCAGGGTTCGGGCTGACTGAGAGCTGGAAGGTGTGGCATGCTGGCCATCCGGTTCATAGATCATTACCTCATATTTTTCCATGTCTGTGTCCGGAGTGCAAGTGTCACATGACGTGCCGTCTCTCTCTCATCAAAGTATAGACTCGTGAGACCTGCCCCGAGGCACCAGGCTTCTCGAGGTTCTAGTTGTGTCGGCTTTTGGCACCCGTCTGACGATGGTCGGCTTTTTCCGGGTCTCTTCAACCAACTGAAGGACACTTACCCTGCTCCATGAGGGAAACTTAAAGAGCATGTTCTACATCTTTATAGGGCTTCGAACTGAAATAGCAATGTTAAAGATCATTCGGTGCAGGTCACAGCACTGTCCTTCTTAAGACCTAAAACCGTCCAGTGTCCAGATCTGTGCTCGACACAATTTTTTAACCGGCTCAGGACCAGTTCACAGTTTCTGGGATCCGATGCAAATCAAACTCAAAACCGTTCTATTTTTTCAGCTCAGTTCAGTCTCATTGCTCGCATTTAAAATTATTGTTTATGACTTACGCAGCTTGCAAAATCAAAAATCCGATTCAGTCCTGGCTTGTTACTTTTTGACTCGTGAGCCATGTGACTCATGCACATTCATATACATGTATATATAAATATATATATATATATGCATTTATTTAGCTCTATCTTATGGAAAAGGTGTAAATATCCTAGTAGCAACTTTATAGTTTGAGCCTGGCAAATGCAGTGCAGCAACAATATCTTTCCTGTAACCTGTTACCAAGCAGCTCTCTCAGGTCTCAGCTCAAGCTAGCACATTCTGTCTGCCACCAATGGCCCGGTCCCATCAGTTATATAGCATTGAATGCGGACCAAACGGCGATATACATGCCGGTGTGCAGCCCGCGCCTGCCAATCGCCGGTCAATTGCATTCGCACGAAAGCAGCCACCTCTTGACTGGCCAGTACTAGTCATGCTGTCGGCGATGGCACGTCAGCAATTATTCAACATCGGATTGTGGTTATTGCAATGGCGGTTAGCTGGTATAAGGAACAAACATGTGATGTCCATACCTTACTTATGTAATAAGAAGTGCGAATTGCAATTGCAATTCTTAAAAACAACCTCAGCAAAATTCCACATTACTGTCTTCTGGTAAGCAAGTAACTGAACTGAACTGAAGTGAACTGCACTAAAGTGAATTTAACTGAACGACTGAACTAGACATATGCCAACGTGCGTGCCGACTTCCTTTTCCGCCGGGATGCCTCAAGCTTATCCCGTCAGGTTGCTCTATGATGAGTTAGGAACCAAAACAGGTTTCGGCAACGCGTAGATTAGAGTGCTCCGCGCCACGTTACCCACATTCCAAGACCACTTAATTTAGGGGCCAAACTCTTACTTGCAAGTTGCGTGTTTCGTGGATATAGTTATTGATGCAATGCCTGGGAGGTCACATTCCGCGCCATGCAATGCGCACATGAGACGAGTCGGCCTTGCCATATTGCTGTTTATTTTTATGGCCTAAATAATAGCATACTTACAGCAACAGCAGATCAAGTAGTAGTGAATCAGGGGTCAGGCATTGATTATTTCATCGTCGTGACAGTTGGCCATGAAAAATATAGCCAGCCGTCGGATTCTTTAAGAAGCAGGCAATCTTTTACTGATTTTAACAAAGGATTTGGGAATGTAGGATGCGTGTACGATATCCCCAGGTTCCTGACTACGATTTGGCAAACTTTGGTTCAGGATCAACAACATATTGTGTTTACTACATGGGAGTTACAATAACAAACTATGCGCAGATTTTGCAAGAAAAAAGTTAATAACTTATGTTTCATGCTGTTCACTTAACCACCCTGCAAATGGTCTGATAATCTGTCTGGCGCGTGCTGTGCTTCCTCATGTTGTCATTAACATTAGACCCATATGATTCAGAGACCCAGCATTGTTACAAATGATCGGCTCATGATTCAGCTCATGAACTTTATGAACAATTTGGTTCAGCTTATGATTCAGAGCGGTATTTTTCAAAGCGAGCCGACTCAGTTCACGACTCACCTCAAACCGATTGGCTCTTAAGCCGAGTCCTGATTCAGCTCGAGTCGAACACGAGTCCGTTACTTTCTGAGACATTGGTGCTTAATCGTCGATGATGAACAGGCTGTGCAAGCTTCAATCACGAATCACGTTTTTCCCAGATATTGTCAGAATTTGGACGTAAGTGGCTTTTACAGAAGTGATCTTTTTTGGACTTAGTAGTGAACTTTTCGGAAGGTAAGTTTCATTCGACAACTTGATACGCCTGCCTGCTCACATAAAATAAAGAGAACGCCTTGAAAAATGACAATATAGCAGAAACACCACTACGATGGGGCAACATACGAGCAATAATCATGGTTCAGAAAACACGGCACCGGCACGGTCACCTCTCCGGGGATTGAAGTTTTACACGTGAGTGCTAAGGTGGCGTGTCGCACGGCCAGTTCGCCGTACAAAAGCTCCTGACACCATCAAGCAATGTGTATTGGGGGATTGTGTACTAAAGAGAGGAAATTTGTCTCTAGAACTGTCTCTTTTACTGACAACTCTGCATACAATACAAAAGTTATTAGTGAGGTTATTTCAATCACATCGCTTGCATGCTTTATACTTTCAATGTAGAGCATTCCTTTTAATTTTGACAGGAGAGTTGCCAGGTGTCCATGAGTTTGCTAGGAGTGGTGCCCATTATCTAAA